GAGGAGAAGAGGAGAAGAGGAGAAGAGGAGAAGAGGAGAAGAGGAGAGGAGAGGAGAGGAGAGGGGAGGGCTGCGTAGTGCATATTCAAGACCCCTCCCTTTCTCTTCGTGTCCTTTCCTCTCCACGCTTGCCCTTTCCTTTCCTCTTTTTCTTCCGATTCCCTTCCCCTTTCCTGCTCCTTTTCCTTCCTCCATTCACCCTTCCCCTTCCCTTGTCCTTCCTTCCCCCTTTCCTTGCCCTTTCCTTTCCTGTCGTGTCCTTTTTTGAATTGCGTCTGGCAACAGCTCTTGTCAATCTGTTTTTCTGGCGTCTGATCTTTTGGTGGAACGGCCCGGAACCCAACGAAAAGTGAGATTTCTGTATGAAAATATTGCATTAACTTCTACAATACCGCAAAAATTTGATGCTCAATTTTGGAATACAATCTTGAATACTGGATTTGGCAACCTTCTTGAGCTCAATATCTTAAATGTTTTGAATAGCCAGCTAAAAAGGAAACGCATGTAACAATATTGATTTCAACTGTTTTCACTTTATAGAAATTAAGTTCAACCTTGGATTTGGCAACCCTTTTGTCTTAATTTTTGGAAAGTATCTTGAGTATCTTGTTGGCAAACAGATTTCAGAAATTGACATAGAATATACACATATATATATATAGTTTATTTGCTTGGTTCTTTGCCAGCCGGTGTGTTGGCCGCATTTGGCTAACCATGTGAGCCAGCCTCTCGGCTAGCCTTGGACCTAAAGCTACAATGTAACGAAAACATAAAGAATTGCGTCTGGTGAACTGCTGGCCAAAATCAACAGTTGTTGGAGCGCAAAAAAAGCAAGTATCCAATATCCCAAGGATTCCAACGCGTATGACAATCATGTATGCCAGGTTTTCCGATGATGGGGTTTAATGGTCGATTGCAGATACAGGTGGAGCTATTTGGGTTCCAGCCACCCTTGTTTGTTGTGGCCGGATGGAAAGTTGAAAAGGCTGAGTTCGAACCTGAATGAAAACGATTAAAGCAAGTTCATGAAGGAACCATGTTTTACCAAACCACACGGCCGCAATTTTGTGGCTGCAAGACTTCGCTTGGAAGCGTGGCAACAGCAGCGGCAAAGCGCCACAGTCGCTTCACAAAGCCGGTGAAGAAGGTACGGTGTTGGTGGATTTCGAAACAAAACATTCCAGAAGTATTGCGGTAAGGATGTGCGGCAAAGCTTTGCGCCGCAAGCTTGCCGGAAGTTGTTTTCACGACCGCTTGGTGCAAAGATGTTGAAGAAGGTTTGCAGTACTTGCGTGAAACCATACAAGTGGAACAGTATAGAAGCAGAGCGTGCTATGTCTCCAAACTGACAAAAGATAGGTAAATCTATGTTTTGGAGGAAATGAGTGGATAAGTGAGTGGATTTTGCAACAAGGCACCCCAATAAGCAAAACCGCTGTCTTTATGATGCTTTCATGAGCAACAGGGTCGTTTCCTTCCACGTCAGGTTCTGGCTGTATTCTCAGAGGACCTCGATGAGACCCCTTGAACGACGCCAGTCGAGTCCCTTTGCTGGGCTGCACGCTGCATGGATGTATTGACCCTTGCGTGGATGTGGCGATGGGCAGTTCTCATTGTATTCAAGACCGTTCCTTACATACGCTAAGTGTTAACCCAAAGCAGCTGCCAGCGCTCTCCAAACCAAGGTTGTAAGCAATCTGGACTTGTTGCTCGTAGTCCTGGCAAAGACCGTTCTGCGACTTTTACTTCTGAGTTGCAGGTTCAGACAGCGCAAGGGGATCCGGCGGAGTGCTTAGTAAATGAGCAGCTTGTGGGAAGAGAGTTTTTTGCCACGGTAGTACCACTAACAACGTATCTCCTGCGGGATTACCTTGATCGACCGGTCTGGAGTTGGTGTGGTTTTAGCTGAAAGTATGATTGCTTAGCTGAAAGTATGATTGCGAACGTTCCCTATGATCCAAGAGCGTCCGCAGCCAATGAACTCATGGAGCCCATTCTGGACAGGCTAATCAGAGAGACTGAGCGATCTGATTGTGGTGAACCCAAAGCATTTGAAGATGTTGGATCATTCAAAGTCCTTACACATCTCAGAAACTCATGCCCTGGCTAGTGTGCTTGCATGAGTCAATGCGACATGTTCATTCGGGAGATTGAAAAAAGATCATTGCGGCAAGGCGTGAGCTGTGACTTGGATTATTTTTGCGTGCGTGCCCAAGGGAGAACTGCGGCCACGATCTCCAGCAAACTCTATCAGCTCCCTGCTGCCGATTTGCCTTTCCGGACCGCTTATGCAATCCACTTGTGTACCTCACCTTGTTATGTGACATGTGTAACAGCTGTCACGGAGAAAGCTTCGCTGCAAGTCACGCCCGCTGTGGTATCGACGATTTCGCAGCCCAAGGTTCTTGTTACGTTTCGGACCATCTTTGTTCAAGTTTTGTGCGCGCATGCCCCTGCTATCTGACAGCCAAAGTAGATTTGTTTAGCCAGATGTGCTCCTATTGGGCAGTGACGCTGAGAAGCGCCCGGGTCTAGAAAAGAAGGCAGTATCAGACATATGGGAAGACGGTTACTCGACTTTTTGCTTGTGGAGGTCGGCTTGTCTAGGATTGTTGAAGACTGGATTTCTTGAATCGTGTTAGATTTCTTCGAACTTGAGTTGGAAAGCGGTTGTTTAGTTTTGCTTTGTTTGGGATATTCTTTTCGAGTGTTCTTTGTAATTTGCCAGGCACTACCATGTCATGAAGTTTCCCAAGCACCCACCCCATGCTTCACTGGGTTTTTGGAATGTGGAACGGTGACCAAATAACTGGCGAAAAACATCTTCCGGGGGTCCTGCACATTGACATCGATCATTTTATGGCCATCTTACGACTTCACATTTTGTTCAGTGGGTGTTTCTCTCTAGGTGCCTATCGTGAGCAAAGCAATGTGTACAATCCTGTGGCTGCTGGTGGTCGAGTTGGCACTTCCAGGTTGACGCGCCGCAGACAAAGCGCAGGCTCGGGAAGAGGGGATCGGCAGATTCTTCCAGGCAACATTTGAGGCAGACCACATGGGTGACAACGTATATTTTTGATGATATTGTCCGACACATCCCGAGTAGTGGTTTTGATCCGCCACTATTGGTTTGTACATCAGCTGATGTCTTGTAAATACATGTTCAAAGCACATTTTTGTACTCATGCAGATGTTTTGAGGAGTGCGTTGTTTTGCTCGGCTGCTACAAATCGGCAATGAATCTGCTTGGTGGCAAAATTAATGACTGGTGGTTTGGAGAGTTCCTGAGTCGATCATGTGTCCCAATCCACTCAAAATCAGCGCAGGCGCACCGCAGCGCCTGACTCGCGGAAAAATCATGCGCTTGGGGGAGGGACGACACACGGAGACACAGAGGCACACCATGGGACCAGGTGATCTGAATCTCTAATTCCACTCCTGGCGCCGCCTGCGCCGGGTCCTATGGAGTGGTCAACTGGGTGTCTGGCATGCTGTTTCAACTGAGGAACCCAACCACCCGTCAACTGGGTGTTGGGGGTGTTCTTCTCCCTGAGCCGGCTGAGCTCAGGCCAATGTTCAAATCCGTGGAGATGCGAGGGTTAACGAGAACGGCTGGGTTTATGGATGAGGGAGATCCATGAAGAGTTGACCCCAGATGCGGATGTTTGGCAAGCGATTGAAAAGGAGATCTGAATCCTTCCTGGAAAGTTCAACAGATTGGAATACCAGTCGGAACTAGTCTGAAAACGTTTAGACCCCCAAGGATTAAATCTCTGCACCAGTTCTTATGTAACGCATGTGAACTGCCATGTTGCAACAACCATCCTTTTGATTGAAACCCATATCCTTCACAAGGATTTGGCCCGAGTGGAACTGCAGCTCCACAGTCGCCGCCTCACGCTGTGAATGTAGTGGCGGAGTCACCGGCGCGTGTCGCACCGAAGGCGCGGTGTGTGGTGTGCGCGGTGGAAGCGAACCCATTCCGGGCCGGAAGGAACTGGTTCTGGAAATGGTTGATCGTTGTAGATCGTTGTGGACGATCAACACTTTCACAGCAGCTGTTGCGCTCTTGCCCTTCACTTCACTTCAGTCTGTTGGCCAATCAGCTCCATTTTTCTACCCAGCGATGTGCCTTGAAACGGGTGCAGCTCCATCCACCACCAGGTCCCTTCTTCCATCCACCCCGTACCTCGGGCTCCGAGCGATCGCCTTCATGCCGTATCCGATCGATCGATCGATCGTATCGCCACGTGGATGCTGGGGAGGGATGGCGGATCCCTACACGTGCATCGTGAAGAAGAATCGGAAGTACTCTTCCGAATGCACGGAGGCCGGACGTCTCGGAGGTGGAGAGGGAGTCCGGGCCGGTGAGACGAGTCGTTTTTTGGTTTCGACAGGGGGCGCCCTTTACTTTGGTTCGGTGAATCAGCAAGTGCACAGGGTGTTCGGTGCCGTTCGCTGTTGGTGGGGATCGATGGCTGTTGGACACAGGGGGGAGGATTCACTCAAAATGTCGCCAGCATTCCTTTGATGAAGTTCCGAGGTTCATTTCTACCACGTCCACCTGCACTTGTTCTTTGGAAAGGCTCTCCATGAAGAACCACTCCACTAGAGGGTTTTCTGGTAACCAACACCAGAAACAAAGGACAATGATTGTTCAACCATGGTAGTGTACATGCTCCCTTAAACAGATCTTCCAGAACAACTAGTTGTGGGACTGGGCTGCAGTTGCTCGAAACCTTGAAGGTTCACTTGGCCAACTTGGGTGCAGAGACGCTGTCGAAGAACTTCGAGCATTTCGGGAATCTTGAAGTGGTCTGGCCTGGGGCGCCCAGAGATTTTGACCCGAGGATCGATCAACCTGTATGGAATTGTCTGAGACGTGGTGAATCCTTGGTCAGAGAAGCCTGCGCAAAAGCATGTGTCGCTCTTCCTTTCCACCCCATTTGGAGATATGAGATATGCGGTCGCACCCAAGTACGAATTCTCATGAATCCTTTTAGGTTGGAGGCCATCGCCAGTAGGTCTCAGTAGGTTGGAGGCCATCGCTTTTAGGATGGAGGCCATCGCTTTGGATGGAGGCCATCGGCAGAGTTGGAACATCGTATTTTAGAAAGTCCTAATTCCAACTTGGGTAACGATGATCTCTTTGGCTTTGGTCGGTGCAGTGCCTCCCATCACCCCAACTGAACACTTTGAAGTACACCCCCTGGAAGAAGCATGGTTACGTGGAAAAGGACCCCTGAAAGACCATTTTCCCAAACAAGGGATTGTCCACTTCCAGCATCCATGGCCTATCAGAATGCAGATCGATGGCTTGCTAGGAAGGATGAGCCGGAGGAATGGACCTCTAACCCGAACGTCTTACGCCTTTCAAGGTGCTGCTCTCTAACGTGTTTTTGGTGATGGCACAGGATTCTTCACAACTATGTTACGTCATACAGAGTCATAGTCATAACTCCAAGAACCGTACCTGTTTTGCATGTTGTTTTTGGGAAGAAAACTGGGTGTTGGGGTCAGGCTTCTCGTCTATCAATGTTTTCGTGTTCGTCCAGGGCTTCTGAAAGTCTGGACGAACATCGATCGGTCGGACCACACCCCAGCTCGGCTCCACAACTCTGGTAGACTTGAGAAAAAGAACAGTGCTTCCAAAATGGACCAGGTCAGAAAGTGGTTCCAATAGTGGTTCCAAGTGAGTGATCTAGAGTCAATCAGGAGTAGAGGAGTAGATAGAAGAATTCCGGACCAGCGTCCTGGGTTTTACTCATTTAACATGTTCCAATTTTCTGTGTAATTGCGAAAGGATGACTCTACTTTCCCATCAGACTTGCAAGATTCTACATTCTGGTTGTGTGATGTTGAGACCCCCACCCTGGTGTTTGACCTATAAAGGCAACCGGCAGAGCAACAATTCCGGGCGCTGTGAAACTCACGGAGCGCATGTGTCAGGGTTTTTCGGCCACGCATGTCTGGTTTCATCACTCTGGTCGTCTCCGACTCCTTCAGAACAGCCCAAGCTCGGTGCGCTTCAGCACCACCTTCGGCGCACGGCGAGAAACGCACCACACTCGGTGTAAGACCGGTGTAGCTCAGTCGAGGGAGACGGAGCCATGCCGAAGGTTCGCGAAATAGACCAGTTTGTTGGGCCATGGAGGGTCTCCCTCTTAACATGCTCATCATTTGTGTTCTTTCTTTCTTTCTTTTGAGCTCGAAGCGAATGCTTTCGGTCCCTTAACGCTCACCAGGTTGCAGGGGAACCAGCTCTCCCGTGTGGAGAACCTCGAAAGCAACTTCCGAATCCGCGAGGCCTGAGCGAAACGGAAGGAGGGCTGGCCGAGCATGGAACCAGCGAGGGCTGGTGGTTTTTCTAGGGCGAATCGCCTTGGAAGGCGGTGAATCGCTTGGCAAGGGGAAGATGTGATGTGGGAATTCTTTGTTGATCCTTTTCTGCACGGGTCTTCTTTTCTGCCTGTGCAAACCATGGAACATGTCTTCTTTTCTGCACGGGTTCGGGCTTGCATGCTGGTGAGTTCCATTGTAGACCTGAGAAGATCTCTGATACCCCCCTTTGGTTGATTTTGTAGACACAAAAGCACGCACGGAGGCAAACATGTACCACATCTATCCACATCCATGGTGTTTACCATTCAGGATCCATTGGCAGAAAGCATGTTATCTATTCATTTCGTTCAAACCAACAAGCAGAGCTCTCCAGGCCCAGCTTCCCCAGCTTCCCTCCTTCGCTCGAAACCACCCCCCCCCGAGGCCAGGCCGCCCATTCTCGCCTGGCCCAGTCCGAACTGGACCTCGAAGCGACCGAAACTGGCCCCGCTTCACGTCTCCGGTCCGACGCCCGGACACCGGACACCGGACAGACACCGGACACCGTCCGTGGAAGATCTACTTGCAGAACAACCGCTTGGTCAGTCTGGCTGGCCTTCGAAGCTTCAAGTTCCTGAAGGCCGCTCAGAGAGAACGAACGAACGAACGCAGCGACGGGAGAAGGAGAAGGCGAGCGACGCGCGCGAGCGCATGCAGGGAACCTAGGCAGGGTGGAAGAAGGCCCTTCACCCTGAGAAACACACAGCGGAAAAGAAGGAGCTCTTTCTGGGGAAAGGGAGCTCTTTTCTTTCTCAGCAGGTACAATAAGGACCTCGATGAGGGTTTTTTTCGGAGGCACAATGGGTGTGTAGGTCACATCGGGAGATCTCCCGTTGCTAGTCTCCCTATTTTTCCAGGTTCGGGAAATGGAGTCCACGCAGCCAGGGGCGATCTCCCTATGAACATGCACACCCAATAAACCCTAAAAACCCAATAAACCCTAAAACCCTAAACCCTAAACCCAAAGAAGATTCAAGAGTGCTCCTCATCAAACCTGCAGAGCCATGCGCCGATGAATGCACGCACGCGCCTTGCGCGACGCGGACGCAGCGGCCGGGTTCGCGGTCGACGCATGTCATGCGTCTTGGGGAAAAACTCTCAGCACTGTCACTGATACTCATGGACAGCCCGGAATGTAGCTGAAGAGTGCAGCTCATTCACCATCTTCATAGTACATGCATTTCCAAGTTTATGCCACAGACCTATAGCCAATAGGTATTCCCTGCTGGAACAGACATGTATGTTCATGTCGGCGAGGACGTGCCAACGAGTCGGAAACTCTAGACGGAGCGTGCTTGTCAAAGCTAGACGTGACGCCAACCTTGGCAAATGCATTGGGTTGGTTCCCACGATTCCATGCGGGCTCGCCGAGCGAGCGCCGTGACGTGAGAGCGCTCCGGCACGCCGCACGAGACTGCGCGTTTGGAGAGCAGGCTTCAAGTTTTCTACCAAGGCTGAACAACTCTATGACCAACTAGTATGATGTATCACGATATGAATATAGAATCCTACAAAATCCCTGTGAAGTGAACCAAAGTGAGCCACATGTGCAGAGTGTGGCTCAACTGGACAGGGCTTTTTCCGAGGGAGCTCCGACTCGGAAGTGAAGTCCAAGCCTCCATGTCAAGCCTCCGTGCCTACTCCATGGTGGCTGGGGTGACAAAATCTTGATTTCTTGGTGTGAGGGGTTACGTCACGGGCCGTGTGACGTCATGGGGCTGCGCCTGTGATAGCACTGCGCCAGGTGCTCTTGGCGAGTGGCAACCAATTGCGAAACCTTGAGAAGCAGCTGGCGCTGCTGTCGAGGTCGGGGAATAGGCCAATGCTATGAGGTGGACAGGAGGTTCATCCCATTTTGCCCGCAGATGGTAGCTCGCAAGTGGTTCAGCGAAGCAATGATCATACTCCAGAGGTAGTTCGTGGACTTTGGTAGATAACATCGGTCTGGATTTGAACATATCGCCTGGGGCTCAGTAGCCCAGTTGTTTGTCAAGTTGGAGGGCTATCCCTGAGAGGACAGATACTCTGATATTCCATTGGGTGGTGAACAATGTGAACAATGACAGACCACAGTGATAAGAGACATGACAAGCCAGAATGGAGATCAACACAAAATGAACTATGGCAAACCACAAAAGACAAGGACATGAAACCTAGTAAACGACAATGACAGCATCATTAACAACAACGACGACGACGACGACGACAACAACAACCACGACGACGACGACGACAACAACAACCGGAGCAGCTATGCGAACCCACTAAGACAGCAATTGGCAATGATGGCAAACATTGTGACAACACTGATGACAAACCACAGAGACACGAACAATGACCCCACGGCAAGAACAATTTTCTTCACACCACAAAGGCCGTAGGAATGGCCAACGACCAACGTCACGACCAAATCCATGACATGTTCTTCTTCCCACGCTCTCGTGAGAGTTGGGCCGCTTTTGATCTTTGCGCTTCTGCGTTTGACTCTCTGTGTGGTGGCCCCAATGGCGTCGTCATCATCATCAACAACAACAACACCATATAATATCAAATAGGCATTTGCCATACCCCTTCACATTTCCTTGAGAAGAACGTGTGGTCAGGTGCGGAGCAAGCTCACGTTGACGTATCGCGACGCCCGCTTGACGGGCCAAGACCTTGGGACAACAGTCCGGACCAACTGTACACTACTCAACCCTAGGGATCCAAGTACCTTCCGAGAAGGTGTTTGGGGCGGGTTTGGAGGGTCCAGGTGCCTTCTGAGAAGGTACTTGGATCCCTAGGGCAACCCAACTTTACGATTCTCTGTTCGTGTGCTTTAACATCACGACGCCCGGTGGTTTATCCCTCTAAAGATTCCAAAGCACAGTCTTTGGGTCTGTGCCTACTCTGGAACGAGAAGACCACGGCCGTTGCAGTGCGGACCTGGCTTCTTCGTCACGGTCCTTTCGGGCGACGCGGCGGGAGTTCGCAGGTTCGCTTTCTTGAAGAAGTTGGACCTCTTCGACAACCCAGCTCCTCGGACGGAGGGACGTCTCGCGGAAGGTCTGAGGACTCGCCATTTGGAGCAGGACCTCGCAGCAGACATCGGAGAACAAACTCCTTCCGGGTGGTGGAGTTTGTTTTCGGCGAGTGCTGGCCGACCGGAAAGCGGTGAGTACTCCGCAAGCGGGGGGGCCCACCCCTCAAAGAAGTCGCCCAAAGGACTCAACTTGGGGGATCTGAGCTGTGCAGATACCCTCAATCCCCCAGACGGTGGAGGGACTCACTTTTCGGCGTAAAGTCCATCACTGGTTAAAGGAGTTTTATATACGTAGAAGGTTTTAGAGGCCTGCACATGTTATATGTTACGCAGTTATATATATATATATATAGTAACTTTCCTGGGAAACACAGTTATATGATATGTATTGATTTTGCTGCTGGTGGGCTCAGAACCCTGAGGCCCCTATGAAAACTGAACACGGTTTGTTAGTTGGACGTCAAACTGTCAGTTGTGGGGTGGGCATAAAGCGAGTTGTTCTGTTACTTAGCAAACACGATTTGGACATGCAGTCCTTGACTCGTGGTTTATTGGACTGACGCGGGTTTGTTTGTCTAACATCTGTGTGTTGCGCGTATATGCTGAAGATGCGATATCGGGCGCGCGCAGGCATGATTGTACAGTTGTGTTCATGTTTTCATGAAAACAGATGTCTCGTTTCTTTGTATCTTGTTGTGGTTTTTGCTTGTGTTGCTTTTTGTTTCGTTTGTATCGGCTTGTTCGACGTGGCCAACGTTGGTCCGCAATTTCACGAGGAGGAACGGTGCAATAAGAGGAGACGCACGTGATGCAACAAAATCAAACAAGAAACAGTCAACAGGTCATGAATGACTAGGCAGCGCATCAGAGTCAGATTATGCCATTTTTGTGCCAAAGACAAACATGCGGACGATGCGTTAGGCACAAGGAAAACTCATCTCTCCGTTCGAGCTGGACGGTAGAAACAGGTGACAGGAGATTATGGTCTTGAGTTTTTCCCCTAGAAGTAAGTCGTTTGTTCTTTTGCTGTAGCTCTTCTTGTATATGAAAAAGGCTGGGTTCCTGGTGTTCTGGGTTTGCTCTCTCCAGCCATTTGCTCTCCACTGGGCCCCAGGTTGCAGAGGAGCCCGACTACCGGCTACGACTCATCTATCAGCTACCTCAGGCGAACGATTCCACAGTCCCAGAAATTGCACTCAAAAGGAGCAGGTGGTCAAGACATGGTTGTGTATTTCATTAGGGCGACACGGCGACACCCTGGGCCACTGGGTTTTGGGTGTATTTTCCTTCTTTCAAGGGGGGTCGCTGCCTGGGAGGTCTCCTTTACAATAATGGTTACCCATCTCATCTCACCTCTAAATATTAACTCTAGCTGTATACAAAATTTTCGGCGTTTACAAAAAGGGTGGTGGATCTGCAGCGACCACAACATGATCCCCCTGCAAGGAGCTCCAGGCACCCCTTTTAGTGAAGGAAATTTCAATAGGGATTAACAATGGGTGAACTTCTTGCATCAAATGATGGTCAAAGTGTGAACGCTTCAACCTGCGACCCCACTGGAATGACCCCTTGACCTTCAGCATTTTGTCCCACCAATTTGATGTTCATCCTTAGCGTCTTTGCAAAAGAAGTGCACTTAGAAGTGCATCAGCTTAGCCAACAGCTATTCTTAGCGACTCTAGACCTTCCTTCCTCTGAACTCATGGCTACCAAATCCCACAGACCATTTGGCCATGTCTAAAAATAGGGGGAGATTGTCTGGACTAGAGCGTGCTGGGGATCCCATGTAGATTTGGATTGGGGTCTGGATATTTCGCGAACTCTGGATCCAATTTCAATCATACTCAAAGAACGTGCGCATATGATAGAACATGTGCAGACGCCAGAAAAAGAAGGCTCTCGTTTGGGCACCCTTTTGTTGTACATCCGGCCACCACTTTTTGCACAGGGCAAATGAACAAGGCCATCAATATTCAGCCTCAAGTGAAGGTTCCTGACATGTAAAGTGTTTCCTGCACCATGTCATTTGGTAGACGGCCATCCATGGTGTTTTTGTAGAGGTGCACTTTGGTACTCCTACAAAATGAACGACCCTGACCCCTCCATGTTCATTTCAAAGATTTATATATATATATATAATATATCTATCTATCTATCTATCTATCTTAAATGCATTATTCTTTCGGGAAGAGACATTTCGTGGCGACGGAGATTCACCGGAGGAATCCGGAGAAATCACTGGAGATTTCGCGTTTGAACGAAGACATTTGCCGACCTGCATGCAAAGCAAATCTGGCACCCTTTGGTGCACTGCGAAACCGAAGCGTCAAACAGCAATCGTGCGTGCCAACAAACCGTGCCACAACCGTGCCATTTCGGACCTGATGGTTTCTGGGGTTGTCATGAGGAACTGAAGTCGACAAGCCGAAGCGACACCGAAGCGGGCGATTCCGACGATTCCGACGTCGACACGCCGGGCCCCTTTCGGTCGTCGCTGGCGACGGGCGGGCGATTCGGCAGGTGGAAATTCTGGACCAGCACTCCGTGACCTGGATTTCAGCGGGTGCTGTGGATGTATGTGGAGACTGACTCTGTAAAAAGAGTCCCGCATCCCGAGTCCGACCCTTCTTTGAAGTGATGATTTTGGGACAGATATTTGTGAGTGTGTTGGAGTAGGATTGAAGATCCATCTGAAATTCATAGGCCTAAACGTTCATTCTGTGTCCCACTTGAGTCAAAAATGCCTCTGGGGCAGAAGTGGACCAGGCCACCAACGCCACCAATGTACCGAAGCGAAAGATCAGACGTGACGCACTTTGTGCAGAGAACACCAAGGCTTAGTGCAACAGATGAACTATGATGAACCTTCAGCCAGACTTAGCTTGGAGCCTTTTCATCGTTTCAGAATGTTTCATACTACTGTACAGTGTCCTTGGTAATCTAGAATGTTGGACTTGCTTATCGAACATGCACAAATTTGATCAACTTTGTTTGATCTTCGAAGATGCTGCCCTGGCCCAACTGAACTTCCATACAATCCTCAGTTTCGTGTTTACAAATGGGCCTTTTAACCCCACAAGTGGCATGGAGGTTTGTACGAAACTCCGATTCCTTCAAGCGTGTGGTGCTGAAAGTTAAAGCTGGCACCCTGCCCCCACACTAAAACAGTCACATCACATTATGTATCAACATTTTGACTGGAGGCCGAGTCAGGTTTGTGGATGTGGGAGAAACAGCTCGGTCAACGAGTTTCTGTATGCTGCAACTCCGCAATGGATGGCCGTCAAAGTCGTGGCGCCTGCGCAGACGAGAAGTCCCATCCGGCCTGGAAACGTGGCTCGATAGGACGCCAAGCAAAGGCGCTGGCTACTGGGACTGTTTTGCATATCGCCTAGCGACACAAAGGTGGCCCAAGTCGCTGATCGACCACGAGCAGCACTGGCCAGGCCATCACCTTCTTCAGGCCGGATTCGGTGGAGTGGCATGGAACTCATCAAGCAAGCAATCAACCGTATGAAGGACGGTGGCAACGTTCGTACTCATACTCACCCTGATGGCAACGGCAAGCAGCTGGCGAAATCCTCCTAGCGGAGTCTCTAGATAGTACCCGAGATCTCTGAAGCAATCAAGATCTACAGTGGTTTTTCAGAGTAGATGGCACAATCCCCCAAAGGCGGTCTATATGGACCTCCATCTAAACGACATGTAGGGGTGCCAGTGCCATCTACTCTGAAGTCAAGATCTACGTGTTTTGGAGGCCAAGCAGTTCCCTCAATCCAAGACATTGAATTGCTTGGCCTGGTGGATTCTTTGCCTAAAAGGGCTTCGATCCAACTAGCTGGGGAGAGAGGGAGAGAGGGAGTTGGAACGAAAAGGAGGAAATGCAGGGATTTGTGGAAATGGATTCATTCATGTCAATAAGACCTGGACTCGACTTCAAGTAGCCTGGAAAATCGGACATAGCTATAAAGGTATAGGTACTTGTACCCACTTTCTGAGGTACGAACTGACACTCCAGGCCGTTATGAATACAATTGAATAGACTCAAGTCACCGTGTTGGGCTGTTTCAGTCGAGTGCTTCGCGTCAAAAACGCTTCACCGTGCGCGCAGCGCCGAACGGAGCGAGCGAGACCTCCAAGCGACTCTTGACAAGCACGGCAAACCACCGGTGGTTTTCGTGCAATTGAACAAGACACCTGTGGCGATGACGTTGGACGTTGCTCAGGTTTCACGCGGTCGAAGACACATGTTTCAAGAGGAAAGACAGGGAGCAAACAACATCCTCAAATCAATGCCTTGTCCTTGCACAATCATTCAGGGAACCCTCCCAAACCCATCGATCTGTACCAACCGGACGACCCAACGGTTGATCGGTGTACCAGGGGTTTTACCACCACAGACATTGGGCGGAGATCGTTCAGCATCCATACACTTCAAACGCATTAAAACAGGACCCGACACCGTGGGGTGCCCTGTCTGGAAGCCTATATACTGTAGGTAGTGTTGGGGTAGTTCAGCCAGGACACCCAGGTCCAGGAGGGTCCTGGTATAATGCAAATCCCAGTTGGAACTCTGTTGGACTTGCTGGCCGAGGACCGGTATTTCAGGTTTCTTTCTTCAGAGACAGCACTGGAAATCGAACACGGTTTTTCCACAGGCGCCATGTCATCATGTGTCAGCCTCATAGCAATTCATACTTGCCACAGTGACTGTTTCCTCCCCTTTTTTTGTACGTTTTCGTTGTAGGTCTGTTGCGACAAGTTTCGGACACCTCACACAGGGAGGCCATTTTACCTTCTCCTGGTGCTACGGCATGTGAGAAAGGGCCTGTAGCTTGGCCACTTGGGTTCCTTCTTTGCGTGATTTGTGCTGATTCCAACGATCCAACACGTTCTCCCAGAGCTCCTCTAAAGGATGGTGAACACGACCTACCTCCACCCTTGCTGGGGGGGTCACGCCTATAGACTCAAGGTATCTCAACGTATCTCAATGGAATCGCCTTCCGTCAGACCATTAACACATGGTTGACCTGGGTTTGGTCGTATCAGAACCTTAAAGCCAATGGTTGTGACAGCTTCGAGCCCCATGAACTCCGGTGTTCAGGACTTCGTTCCGGGGAACGGTTCACAGCCATCCGCCCAATCCCGCCGTTCGGTGAGGTCAAATCAGCTGAACGTCAAAGAGCCGACGAAGTGGTTCCCAACCTCGACAAGGCGACGAAGCGGTGCCACCGCGGCTTGAAGACGGGGGGAGCCGAACGCGACCGCCACGCGGAGCCACGGCAAAGCGCTGAATGGCGGTGGCTCGTGCGGCGGAGGTGTAGAACGGTGGAGACGAGGTGATGTGACGTCGTTTTTTGGTTGGGGGGGCTTTTGGAGACGTGGAAGAAGAGGGATGACCGGCTGTAGGGAGGGTTTTGATGTGATGTTCGGCCTGGGCTTTGGTGGATGTTCTGGATTTTGGACATCGCTGCAATCGACTTGTCCGACTTGCAAAGAGGAAACTGGAAGACCCGCACTCTGTAGAGTTCTACGTTTACTAGCCATTTCTCAGCACTTTTGGCTTTCATCTTTGTAAGTGACCGTTCTTTGTACGGGTCACTATGTCTTGCAATAGATGGCTCTTGTCTGACTGCCTGCCTGGCTGGCTCCCGTAGCTGAACTGACTGCTTGCCTGCCTCCACCCGTGCCCCTCCTCCTCGTGGCGGGATCGCCGCAGGTGTCGGCCGCACGCGTGGAGAAGGTGAAGTCCAAGGAGCAGGGCTTCTCGCTTCTCGAGAGGCTCGGCTCGGTGAGGATCCCCCCCGAGGAGTGTCCGAACCCGAGGAAGGGCCGTGAGGAAGCCAACCTTCCAAACGAAACATCGGAAGCGTTACATCCCATTTTCCCAACAGCAGTATGACTGTTGGGTTTCAATTTTGTTAGAGATTGCTTCATGTTCGCTAGTCGCAGGCGTTTCGCTCTTGGCGGTAAAAAACAGGTTCAGTTTCAGGGGTCAACCAGGGTGCCTGGGCTTTGACCCACCATCTTCCATCGTGCGGGTGGGGAGTTTTTGGGTGGCCTGCAAGGAGTGAGCTGGCTCTTGACGTCGGTTTTTGGATTTTCCAGAGGTCGAACTGAGGGGTTTTCCCTATAATACACAGCTATTTGGGACCTTGTTGGACCTTTTTCGGGGGGTTGGAACGAGATTTCTGGGTTGGGTTGTGAGAGGACCCAGGGGATCCAGGAACTGGCTGGTCACCCGTGATGGAAGAGTTCGACGAAAACCATCGACGGAACCAGGGCCCCAATAAAGCCACCCTGGTTCCGCCCTGGTTTCCACTCTGGTTCTCTATGACCATAAACCTACCAGGACCCTCCAAGGGGTGTCCTGGCTGGACTAACCCCACACTACCTATAGGCTTCCAGACAGGGCACCCCACCGTGTCGGGTCCTGGTACAACACTCAGACGATCCGCCCTGGTTCATTATAGAGCGGTCACGGGGCCCCGCGGCCCCGAGGGAGGATGAGGATATTCTTTGTGACATGCTGTCACAGACGTGCAGCCGGACCTCACGGATCTATGCCTAGGATTCCAACCACCCTTAATTTAATAAGATTCACATGAACAATCAGCAAATTACGAAGGATTTTACTGAATTTTACTATACAAAAAAGGTCAACTGTGTCAACCATTCTTTTAATGGTCTAACGGAGGGCTAGGGTTTTATCAGAGCATGCGACCCATTTGGGTGACAAGGACAAGGACCGGAGGCACATGGTCTAGACATGTCGATCAAATTCTGATAGTTTGAGGAGCTTCCCAGGAAATGCCTTTTGAGGAAGCTGCCCAGGAACCCAACCCCCGTCCCGCCCATGTCTGAAGTATCTGTCTGAAGACATGGCTGACAAAACGGAAGTCCAGGGCCTGTAGATAGCAGGTCAAGCACACTATGGCATTTCTCGGTTCCCCTGCCAGCGGCAGGCAGTGCATCCGGGAAGCCCGCCAGATTCGAGACCGACGGAGGAGAGCCGCGCTGATCAGCGCTGATCGTGTCGCCTTGCCGTTTACATGTGAATGACCAAAAGGATCCCAAATGGTACAGCTGCTGAAGAATTAGCAGAGCAGACAGGCAGGGACTCAGGTAGGGGGGCCAAACGGCGACCTCCAAACGGGGCCAAACGGCTGGTGAACGTCAACCTTTCGTTCAACGAAAGCGGGAAGACGCGGTTTCCGTGTGAGTAGGCTCCCTTCCGCGAATCCAAACAAACGGTGTGGCTCATCCGTGACAATCAGTGATATCTGTGGTCATCCACTCGAGTGCGTGTTGGGTGTGGCACCGAGCGAGTGAGGGGTGGACTGCCAGGCACGAAGACATCAATCCCAAAGGCTCCTTGGACCCTCATAGCTAGGGTTTTGGACCTCAAACATGTAGCAGTTTGAGGGTCTATGAGCCTCTGGGATATATTTCTGCAGCATGAAAGACCTGTAATCTCTTCATACCAGGACCCGACACCGTGGGGTGCCCTGTCTGGAAGCCTAGTGCGGTAGTGTGGGGTAGTCCAGCCAGGACACCCCGACAGGAGGTCCAGGTAGAAACTGCCCCGCTTTTTTGGGGGCTCTCCCTCCATTTCTGTGGGATATTCTTATCGGCCACTTCTTTTTCAGGTGACGATGACTATGACTGCTCGCATCCGCATTGTGATAACTCTATTCTTCTGTCATCTGTACTGGGAGCCTGGCCCAGCAGACTCTCCGCCGGGTGTTTGGGACCATTTGGATCCATTTGGTTGGCATCACTTCATTCCCGTCTATCTTGCTAAGGGGTGCTTAATGGCCACCCCTTTAAAACTGCATGGTTATATGTTACATATGTATTTGAGGGCGATTCTCAGGGAGTCTATAATTACTTTCTACTCGACTGTTTTCAAACGTCGAGTGAAGCGTTCCCACCGAAAGCTTGCTCGTCTCGTGTTTTGAATGATCGGCCTACCTGCTGGCGGTCAGACTGGTGGCCCACCTGAAAAAAGAACAGGGTCTTTGACTGTACGTAGCATGTAGCAACCAGACCAGTGACTTCCGTCATAGACGTCGCAGCAATGCACCGCTTCGCTTTCTCCCCCCCCAAAAAAGGGCGCGGAAACCTCCACGGCCCCATTCACTTCACTTCGAATACGGATGACCTGAAGCGGAACGGGACCGGCGTCGGCACGCTCCGCTCGTGTTCTCCGTCCCAAAAGACCCAGACGAGCGCAGGAAGGAGGAGGAAGCCTTGCTGATGCGCAGCATCCGAGTGGCGCCCGAGGTGGCTTAACACGCAACCCGAGTGGTGACCACGTTGAAGCCGGCTCGCTGAACGAGTTCTGGATTTTTTTGGATCATGCAAGGGCCTCGTTCGACATAGTGTGGTGAATGGACACATCAAGAACTGTAATCCACCTCCACTGCAGTCCACCTGCATCCAGATGGCCCTTGACGTCGTTGCCCTTGACGTCGTCCTGACGTCGTCTTCGTGGTGCCCTGCAACCCAAAATAGAGATCAAAGGAACTTCCGATTCCGAAGCATTCATTCTCCCGAATCAGGTCAACCTAAGGGTTCAAATTCCCAGAAACACATTGAACTATCCCTGGAAATCCAGTCATGGCTCTTTTGACTCCCTAACAAGTGGTGGACGGCTTTCTTAGGTGGAGTAGTCGGGTAGTCAAAACGGAAGTTCTGGGTGTTCTACCCATTCATTCTCCTCATCCAAATTCATTCTCCCAGTCAGATCAGCGAAGGGTTCACGTTCGAAATACCACCCTCACCATACAACCTGGCCAGTTTGACCGACACCAGAGGGTGGGACGAGGTCGCGCCGGTTTGGTGCCACCGCCATATCACAAGATAAGGAAATCATTGCTGAAAAAGATGGCGAGAAGTGTTTTGGGCTGGAGATCATCATTTGGATCTGACCCTCCGTTCGATCTTCTCCTCCAATCTCAACTACAACCACCATTCGATCGAAAGGGTGGGAGTGACCTAAACCACCCAGGTGGGAGTGCTGACGATAAAGCCACCCAGCTCGATGGCCTCTTCCTTTGGAAGCCTTCTGGCCTTCCCCCATGCCATGCGCGGCACCTGCGCCAGGTGGGCCCGCCAGACTGCAAGGTCTTCCGCTGGAACCGGGAACGCTGGAGCGATCCCAGGTGAGCGATCGGCGGAGGTGGTTGGGGGCGAGGAAGAGATGAATCTGAAAGGGAGAAGGGTTTTGGATGGATATGATTTGAAGAGCTCCAATCTAATATATATATACATATGTCATATATGTATACACCCTGGAAGCCTGGAAGTCGAACATTTATACTTATTTAGTAGCCTTTATATTTATATAGCCTCTACGCAACAACCATGGTTTTACTACAAAACCAGCTCAAACATGAGCAAAAATGGTCTTGGACTTCCAGGCATATATAACATGTTTCCATCCATTGGCGGTTATTTTTTTTGGGGCGGTGTTGCAAGGTGAACATGGTGGCTCAAAATAGAGGTTTTAGGGCACATGAGCAGTGAATGGCTCTAGTCCCCTTGAAGGGAGATCAAGTGATCGCCAGTAGCAGGGCCAGAGAGTCTATCATGCACTACTGTGTATCAAAACTTATTCGTCATCATTCGTCATTTTGTGCAAATACAACCATTCAACCAGCATCCGATCGCAGGGGGAGGTTGTTGCAAGTCTTGGCCATGCCTTTGGCGGAGACAGGTGTGAAGACCCCCAACTCCATCGTTTACTGCCAGTGAGAGTTGATTGGGGGACGCTGGGACGCTCACTAAAGTGGTCAAGATGGTTTTGCAGTGCTCATCAGGTTTCGCAATGTGGTTCGATTGAGCGGAACGGGACTGTCATCGCGAAAGCCCCTCTGCCACATGAAAGTTTCGCTTCAGGATGAAGCTTCAGCATGAGCAGACGAGGCAGTTTCGGTGGGAGATGTGCTAAAAAGCGCCGCTTTTCCAGGGGCACCGGCCACTCACTCCTTATGCGTCAGTGGGTTGGTCAGGGTGCAAGCATTGGACATCTCCCAGAGTCATTGGACATATCCAGAGTCATTCTATCCCCACCTTGGGGGACCGGTAAATTGGAACATCATGGAGGTCACTATGTTGGCTTGAGGCCTGGATCATCAAGAGGAACCTGCACCGCTTAATATCGGAGAACAAGTGCAACCTTGCAGATGTGGATTTTTCAGCATTGTTGAGAACAGGACCGGCGTTCACAAACAAGGGCGGGGCCCACTCCCTCAGCTCTCTACCCTCCCCGCAAACTCGAAAAGCACTCGCCTGGTAGAGAAAACTCATTTTCTCAACTCTCTAATGGCTAGATACGTGACTTGGGGTCCGGGACACTTTTTGATCAGAATTTCTGACCCTCTGAGTCAAGAGTCACGAGGAGAACTTGACTTCCCCACATACCAGTGGTGGTTGATGGACTCTGGACACTCCATCACCTGCAAGCTATTGGGGCAACCTTGATAGACACCCTCCCTAGAGGGTGGCCCTTGAAACAGGCGCTTCCAAGTCGATCGAAGCCCTTTTTTTCAGGAAGTTTCTCGAACAGAATCATGGCCAGGTGACCTCTTGCTTCGGAGCTCGTGTCTTTGTTGGGTCGTCTCCCGCGGGTCGGCTTCGGTGGCCACCGAAGCAAACCGAAGCAAACAGGCCGACGCCCTGGGAGTGCATGGAGATTCAGAGCTGGATTGAGAAGAAGTCCGAGAAGAAGCAGCTGAACAAGGAGCAGCCCGAGAGAAACCAACGTTTGAAGGGAGGTACAAAAAAGCGTGCTTCCTAAATCAGATGTTTCTTTTTTCACATTGGGGCCAACTGCAAGAATCCTTCAAAGAAAGACAAAGATGGGTCAGGCAAACACTGGAAAAGGCGAAACCAGGGAAACCAGGACTTTTGGGAGTCTGCTATTTTGGACGTCCAATTCCGGTGTGGTGCCCAAGCCTTTTCCTGCGACTTCATGGACTTCATCAGTTGGTCCCTTCAGGTCCATTCCTCGCGTGTTTTGGGGGAGGTGCTTGATACACTCAGGCTGGGTGGTGGTGGTTTCAGATATGTTCTTTCAATCTTTACTTGATGATTGAACCCACTTCAACTCAGTGGTGCTGGTGAGTTGATGGTTCACCAACCAGCAGGCTAAACGCTGTAGTACAATCGCTGGTGAAACCATTGGGATCAGCATCCGCGGTGTTGTTTCTGAAAGAGAGTGGGATTTCAGACTGTGCTTGGTCAGCATCGAAGTGACTTCCTGGACCCAAGATTGTGACGGATTTGGGCTGGGGGGGTGGCTCGAAAGTTTTGGGATTGGTGGCACTTGATTCATTGTTTCTTTGAAGGAAGGTCAAGCTTTTTCAGCCATCCTCATTCCTTACTGCAGCATTTCTTTTGAGTCAACCCACCCCCCAAGTGTTGCCAATCCTCTTCAATTTGGACCTACGGACCTACATACATGAGTGTAAGTTTTGAGCCATGCTCACTTTGAAGATCATCAAAGTATCTCAAACGGTCTTTCGAAACCTCCGCGACATCAACAACTTTCTGAAGTCGAGCATCTATGTTCTGTGAACTGAACATGGGCCGCCCCCACGAGTTCTGTTTTTCTATTTTTAACCGATGGTTTCAGAGTAGATGGAACAAATGTCCAAGTTTTGTGGTTTAGTTTAGTAGAGGACCTTGATCTGTCTAAGACATCTGGGGGTGCCAGTGCCACGTACTCTGAACGCTCAACAACTGTCACTATTTTAGAGAAAGGCCTGCAACACCACCATCATCATCCACTGCTACAGGGAATAGGATACACCCAATCTGAAACCACTTGATGTTTTTGATTATTTTTGTGCGTTTCAAGTGATTGAGGACCTCAACGAGTCCCCACCAACACATGTGACAAGAGCTCGTTCGAGGATGCCCTTGAAGACCATTGAAGACTCTGGAATTCCAGAGTCGCAGCAGCCATTGATGTAGTTTTGGGCCAAGTGGAGACCAATGGTCTTTCTAATGCTTGGGGTGGGGACAGTAAGTTACAACCTTGTTCAACCATTGGTTCTGGGTGCGATATCGACCTGGTCGGATCTCAGCTTTGGCCAAGGAGGATGTTGAGGCTTTGGCCAAGGACATTTCCGGCCACTGGCTGTTGTTTCACAGGGAAATGTAGGGTACATCTTGGGTGTGGCGTAAGAATTCGGGCCACGTGAGCAAGAAAAAGACGGACATATCCCAGAGCAGGTTTGCAGCAAGTAGAAGTGTTCCTTGTACAAATCGGTTAGGGCAGTAATTATGAAACTTTCTCCTGCCGTATCCAAATGCTGCAGAAAAGGAGGCTGATTTTGTCAGGAGACTGTTCATGAATTACAAGAAGACTTGCCTTAAATGGGGACTTTATACTCTAATCATTCCTCTGATCCTATAAAACACCATTGTTTCGGACTGTCACCGCTTCTACCAGCTGGTTTCTTTTCGGACAAGCTTCGGATTCTACCAGCTGCTGAGGTCTTGGTGTAAACAGGGATTTGCCAAGTGGGATAGAGACCCGGAAGATCATGGTCTTGGAGTGCCACAGAAGTAGGAAAAGATGAGAACAGAAAGTGGAAAGACAGGATCATATCATTACTGTAGATCCACAGGTTGAACAACTTCTGAGCAATAGATCTTTCATACAAATAAGAAACAAGAAACAGGACAGGAAACACGAGAGTACTGAGTACACGTCACACTTCCTTATCATGGCTGCTTTTGGACCACCTAAGTTGACTATGAAGAAAAATCGATCGTTTCCCAACCACACGAACTTCGGAAGTTCACATCAGAAAGCTGACAGAACACACGGAAGTCTCGAACATGGCACAGGGACGGGTGTGCAGGTCACCTCCAAAGACACCACTAGCGCTGGGAGTGCCCGTGCGGGAGTGCCCGTGATGCTTCATCCTGACCAACCTTCGACCGACCTTGGATGCAAGGAGCTCTCGTCCGAAGGCATTGTGGAATTCGGCCGCTACCTGAAAACCGGCGGCGTCTTCCAAGAGAATCCTTGGGAGGCACGGTGGGTGAAAAAACAGAGCTCCAGCCGGGGAGGTCCTTCGGGGTCCGGCTTGTAAGATCCCAAAGCCACGTGGTGATGATTTGGCCGGCTTCTTTGAACTCTGAAAGATCGACAATCACGTGAAACCACACCCGAAACTCGTGAGCGCCCGCGCTCGAGTCCAAAAGATGTTAAACGAGCGATTCGAGAGGGGATGTGCTCAAGCCAGCACACAGCACCAAGCACTTTTATGCCTTCCAATGCGGAATCTCGACCAAGAAGTCGAGGGAAGTTATATTTATCAAGATTTCTAGTGTACTGGGCTACAGGGAGTTAAAGAAGATAATGAAACACTGTCAAAGGTAAGTAATGGAGATCAAAAGGAGTTGAAAAGGACATCAAAAGGAATCACAAGTAAATTAAATGGACATTTAAAAGGAACAACATGATATAGACATTTCACAAACATATACAGACACATGGTAGACATCATTGTAGGGGATTGCACTATTGTAATAATTACTTAGGAAGACACACATATATATAGTTAGTTTATTACAATTACTATATATAATATAATCGAACAAAATCTGTGCAGACTTTAATCAGGGGGTAACTATTCAATCAGCATTGAACAATACGCGCAAAGCACAAAGATGGGTCTCTGGGTTTTTGTTAATCTCTCTCTCTCTCTGTCTATGATATATTTCTGACTTTCGACCCCCAGCGGTCAATGCAGCTGATATTCGCAAAATGGACGAATCTTCAGGTTCGGCATTGGTTTGAGGGTTCTTAGGTCTTGGAGCAAAAACTTCAGGTTTGTGGATCAGCTAGGCTACACCTAGTGACGACTAAGTGTCAAAACCTGTCCTGCCAGGCTCCCGAACCAGAAGGCAACATGTGCACTCACAATTTTGGTGTTCCTTCCGTGACTGACGGCTGATTTCCGCACTGCCGCCAACGCCCCTTTTTGGAGATTTCAGATGAACACCTATCCCCCAACGGCCGTTATAAAAGAACCGTTCTATGATGGAGAAGACACTTTTCAATTGTCCTTGAGGCTTTCAAATCCGAACCTTTTCACCTTTCACCTAGTTGGTGTATGTCGTATGCGTGCAACGAGTTTTCGGATCCATCTCAGAAAGACGGGGTTTGGTTGGCTCTCCTTTTCTCGCGTGGTCTACACCTTCATCCAATCTTTGGAAAGCGAACCCAAAAGAGTGGGGCGCGGTTGGCCGCTGCAGCGACCGGATCTGGGCCAAACCGATCTCCCACACCACGCAGGACACGTCGCAGGAGACCTCAATGCTGGGACGGACGTTGAAGTTCCACCAGGAGAAGATGGGCCAGGCGAGGTTTCTCCATCCGAGTCGAGGTCTCTCCAGGTTTGGAAGATGACCAATGAAGTAGGGTTTTCAATCCATGTGTGAACTGTGTGTTTGATGAATCGAGACCATTCATGGGGTCTGTGAAGATGTCCAGGCATGCAGTTGATCAAAGCAGTTTCGCTACATAGCCGGCCCAGAGGAAAGCGGCCCCGATAGCACACCATGTTGCATCACGGCCCCGAGGAACTCTCAGCCCGCTTGCAATGCGGATGACACACAAATCGAGAAGAAGCAAAGCAAGCAGATTTCAAGACAAGTTTCACTAGCATGTTTTTACCTTTCGCTTTGCGGTGGAAAAGCTTCCAGTGCGCTTCGCACTGGTAGCGGAGCCGGCGACCAGTGCCGGCTCCCGCGTGCCATGGCGTCTTCGGTGGGCGATCACCGCCCCTTCTGGAGAGATGATGAAGTGGTGGTGGATAAAGATGGTATCCCCCACTATAGTGGGGCAGTCCCTGGCCTGATGACGGAATACCGCCGTCGAGTTCTCTTCGCCTACAACAACTTGGAAGGCGATGGTGACACCCCGGAGAAGGAGAAGAAAGATCTTGAGAAGCGCCAATCTCGCTTCGCAAAGAAGCTCCTAGATAGCCTTCATGGAGAAGCGTGGAAGGCATGCCAAAGCCTTCTTGGTGAGAACGACAAGCTCCGGGAGAAGGACGGCTACAAGCATGTGTTTCGTGCCCTGCAATCCATCGAGAAGGCAGCTGTGCTCCGAAAGACCGAAGCCTTCGAGCAGTTCTTTGAAAAGTGTCAGCGACACAAAGGCCAAAGCATCGACTCCTGGCTTCGCAAGCGCACTCAGGAATGGAACGACCTCATCGACCTCACGGAGAACACCATGATGAGCGAAGACCTGAGAGCCTTCTTTCTGTTGAAGCATGCCTCGCTGAGCCGAGAAGATCGGAGGCAAGTGTTGTTGGCCAACCAGTCCGACTACACCCTTGAAGGCATCGAGAAGTCGCTTCGCATTTCGTTCCATGACATCCACGAGCGAGAAGGCCGACGTGAGTGGCCAAAGAAGGCTGGATACCAGTACCAGCCCAAGTACAAGAAACACTATGCCAACCTCGTGGATGAGTCTGAGGTTCCTGAGAATGTCGAGAATTTTGACGAGATCTATGATCCTGAAGAGCTCTTTGACCCTGAAGAGAGCTATGCTGTGGAGGAAGAGGAGGATCCACCCTCCGACCTTGGAGCCAGCGACGACGATGAAGTCCATGAGGCCTACGCCTCGTATCAAGCCAGTCGCAACAAGTTGAAGGAACTTCAACGAAATCGTGGCTTCTTCCGCGGCGACTTCAAGGGCGAGATCAGTTTGGAGGAGCGCAAGGCAGCTGTTCAGAGGGAGAAGCAGAGGACCAGATGCGCTGCCTGCGGCCGAGTTGGCCATTGGGCTGGAGATGCAGCTTGCAGCAAGTCACACAAGAGTGGCCCCAAGAAGATGGACGGCAAGCGATCTGGTGGAGGCAAAGGGAAAGGCAAGAGCAAAGGGAAGACCGGTGGCAAAGCTTTCTACGTTGAAGAAGGCCCTCGTTACTTCAGCCTTGGAAGTGAGATGGACGAGGAAGATGCCTTTTGCCACATGGTTCATGACGATGAGACCACCGATGAGATGCACGATGCCGACCTGGATGCACGTCGAAAGAAGGCCCGGGCTCCACCTTCGGAGTCTGATTGGGAAGCTGTTGAGCCAGTGGAGTTTGATAGCACCTCCTATGCTTCTATGACGGCCATTCCCGAGCCCTATGTGTCTGAGGCCGATGATGTCCCTGTCAAGATCGAGATGACTGTGCCCTCAGACAAGATCAAGGTTCTCTTGGTCCCGAGCTTCGAGGAGGTCATGCCGAAGAAGCTCCATGAGTTGAAGGCCTACCAGCTTCAGGCCGAATGTGAATCCTGGGGCATCCTCACCAGCGGCAACAAGAGTGACATGAAGGCGCGCTTGATGCGCTTCTTTGCTGGTGAGCCAATCCAGAAGAAGGGATGCACCAAACAGTTCGTGCAGCTTCGACTTGATCGACCATCATCCACAACCTCCCCGAGGAAAGTTGCGAGCTCAAGTTCTGATGGACAAATGCCAGTGGTCAAGCCCAAGACAAAGTTGGCACCAAAGCCCATGCCTGAGAAGCTTCGCCGCTCCAAGGACTTTGCCTATGCTGTGAAGGAAGACCCGAATGACTACCAGCTTGAGAACGACCAGATTCCTGCAGCTTCCTTCGGCAAGTCCGGCTATCAAGATCCAAGCCATGGATTTCGGAGGGACGAGGCAGAGCAGAGGGCAGCCCGTTTTCGTGAAGAGTTCGTCATGTGCAGCCGGACGGGCATCGCTGTTCCAGTCGATCGTGTGGGCAAGGCAGATCCGAATGTCCCTTGTCCTACTTGTGGCAACCATATGGCAATTCGTCGCAACCGAGATGATGGAGGTCTCTTCTTCGGCTGCTCGCGCTATAGCCAACCTACTGGCTGCCGAGGCACGCGGAAGCTCATTGAGGTGGACGCCGACTACTACAATTGGAGCAGGGCCTATGATGATGAGGCCAAGTACTGCCGCCCCTTCAAGGGCGGAGGCGTCTAGCACCTTGGTAAAAGAGATTTCACCCACCTTCGGCATCTATGCACTTGGAGAAGGTGGATTGCATGAGAATTTAGTTGATGAGCCCAATGTCGCAGACCACCGCGTTTTTCAGAATTCAATAGACTCACAACAGCAGGAGCATCACCATTTTGGACCTGCAGTTTGTGAAGGAGAACTTGATGAGTCCAGACTGTGCCTCCTCGACACGGCCTGCACGGCCTGCATGCACAGTCGACGATGGAGAGAAAGCTATGAACGCTTGTTGCCAGAGAACTTGAGGTGCACTCAAACGCCCATCCGCAAGTCCTTTCACTTCGCCAATGGTTCCTCTACAGAAGCCAAGGCAGTTGTTTGGAAGATTCCCATCTTCATCAAGGGGTACCAGGGTGAGGTCTACAGTGCGGAGATTGAGCAGGGCATGACACCTTTGCTTTTGAGCATCTCGGCCATGTCGGCCTTGGACATGGTCATACACCTCAAGGAGCAAGTTGTTCAGGTGCGCAAGCTCGACTTGGAAGTCCCTATGCTGGTCACGAAGTCAAGACACCTGGCGATTGACATCGCCTTTGACCCTGAGGCCGCAGTCCAGACTGAAGAACTTCCCTCTACAAGTCGAGAACCTCGCATTGTCTCTGAGCGTGAAGATTTGCTTGTTTACTATGGTGAGGAAGCTCAGATGACACTTCTTGCTGGACAACCTGGACTACCAGAATGGCAACCTCCTGAAGGACGAGTTCTACAAGCTTGCACTCAGCAACGGGGCATCCGCCCTGATGACCCAACCGGACAGATGTCCGAGAGACGAGTTGAGGAGTTGAAGAATGCAGCCTTTCACATCCAAGTTGCTGATGAGAGGATGTGGGCGGCACTCAAGCGCCACTATACACTTGCAGAGCAGTTCTGTACGCTTGACTTCAAGACAACCGTGATCTTCGAGCCCTTTGCAGGTTCTTTTGGCACAACAAGAGTTGCTTCCAGAGACTACGGTTGGACCAACTCCCAACCAATGGACCTTCGAGACGGCTATGATTTGCTCTCGACCTCAGGCCGTCGACTACTGTATCAAGTGTTGGACGACCACCTTCCCTACTTGGTCCTCATCGCCTTCGATTGCCGGATCTGGAGTTTGTTGACCAACATGTCTCCCGGTCACCCGTGGGCAAATTTGAGAGAGACCATCGGCAAGGTGACCCTCAAGCTCATTGTCAAGATTTGCAAGATCCAACACCGAAGAGGCAGATACTATCTCATTGAGAACCCGGCTGGCAGCTACGCTTGGGTTCATGAAGGTCTTTTAGCAGAGCTCTTGGAGCATGCCGGTGGCAAGTTTGTCACTGGTGACCAATGTCCTTTTGGATGCAGAGACTCCCAGAGCTTTCGACCTATCCGGAAACCAACTGGATGGCTTTGCAACTCCGAGGTGATCCTCAACCATGTTGGTCGAAAGTGCACCTGTCACTGGGGCAGTCACCAGCCCCTAGTTGGTCGGAACCAAGACGGCCTTCGTTCCAAGCAAGCAGCTCAGTATCCACGGCCTCTGTGCAAGGCCATTTGCAATGGAGTTCTCAAGCAGATGCAGCTTGACTACAAGGTCATGATGGCTTCAACCGCTCAACATGCCTATGCCCTTGTTGATGAGGAGGACATTGAGTATGAGCTCCAAGACAGAGAGATTGACCTCGGCGACAGCTGGAAGTTGGAGGAGGACAGACTTCTTCGCATTCACACCGTGCCGAGGAGATTGCTTTTTGTGCCGGTGGCTTCAATGGATCTGCCAGTTCCTTTTGAGACCTTGTTGGATGAGCGCCAAACCGTCATGGTCTTCGGAGATGGTCAAACGGCTTCACACCAGAGTCCGTGGTGGAAGATCAAGCCAGAAATGATGACGGAAGAGTGGACTGGCGAGACCGAGTTCCAAATTGCTCCTGGAACTTTGACTGAGGCCGCTGAACCACAAGCACTCCAACCCGCTCCCATGACTCCTGGACAAGTTGGAGATGGCAACACCTTGAAGAGACGTAGAACCAGGACTAGACAACTCCAAAGAGGTTTTTGGGAAGAGCTTTCACAACCGGAACCACAAGACCTTTTGAATGCAGTTCTGGAGCACGTCATAGCAGAAGAACTACAAGATGGGTCACGACTTGACCTCGAAAGCGACCTTGGACAACAATGGGTCGCACATGAGTCAGCACAAGCGGAAGTCAAACTCATCCTGACCTCACAGACCGCCAAGAGGATGAGAAAGCCTCAGCCTTTTGCTGGACCCTTGGAAGTTCCACTTCGACGGTCCTATCTCTTGCTCGAAAATGGCAAGGTCCTCGCAACTTCTTGGGAAGAGTGGCAAAAGATGGCCCCAGCTTCACAAGTGAGACCTTTAGTTGCCCAGAAGCGTCGCCTCTACTTGGTCCTGTTTGGCAACGAGCTTGGAGAAGGTTTGCAGATGGAAGTGGATGACCGCTTCCAAGCCAAGGAGGAGGAACGACTTCGAAAATGGCAAGCTCTACCACGTGAGCTGAAGCTGGCGGTACGCCGCATTCATGTGAATCTGGGACACGCTGATGTGCAGACTATGCTGCGATGTTTGAGGATGTCCAAAGCCTCAGATACAGCTGTCAAGGCCACACGCCTTTTTCGTTGTGAAGATTGCCCCAGAATGCATGAACATCCCAAAGAACCACGACCTTCCAAAGTTCCTGCAGTGCATGATTTCAATGTTCAAATTGGTTTGGATGTGTTTTCTGAAAGTGATGCTCAAGGACACCAATGGTCTTGGCTGAACATCCTTTGCCAAGGAACCACCTTTCAGGTTTGTGCCTTGCTGCCCGACACCAACCAGAATCCAACTGGAGCATGTCTGCTTGAAGCTTTCAACTCACATTGGTGCAGCTGGGCAGGTTTTCCTGAGCGTGGCATTGTTTGCGACCGAGCCAAGTATTTTTTAGCAGAGCTTTCGGAGGAGTTCTCAAGCCACGGATGTCATTTTTCCACAGCTGCTAAAGCCAGTCCATGGCAGATCGGACAAGTGGAGCGACATGGAGGACTCTGGAAAACCACGTTCAAGCGACTTGTTTGGGCGCAACAGATTGCAGGCAGAGAAGAAGTTTTGATGGCTACAGCAGCTACTACAGCAGCGAAGAACTCGATGGCTCGCAAGCACGGCTTCTCACCATCTCAATGGGTGATTGGCCGAGATGTCAGACTTCCTGCAGCCTTGAGCGATGATTCAGAGATTGGACGGCTCAGTGCACAATCTTTAGCTGAAACTCCTGGTACACGTTTTTACAGACAGAATGTTATCAGGATGCAAGCACGTGAGAGTTTTGCCAGAGCTGCCAATGATTCGGCACTTCGCCGAGCTGAACTTCGCAAAGCACGGCCATCACGAGGCCCTTTCCCTGTTGGCACCTATGTTTTCTATTGGGATTCAGCCGACAAGCGAAGCAGCCCCTGTTTCTGGAGAGGAGTCGCTAGAGTGATTGGTCATGAAGGCAGCAGCACAGTTTGGTTAGCACACCGAGGTATTTTGGTAGCAGTTTCTCCTGAGCATTTGAGCAGAGCATATGAGGAAGAGATTCAACAGTGGATCAATGTGAACCACGAGACCGACCTCATTGATGCTGTCCCTGCCGCTGGAGGAACAGGTTTTCTGGATTTGAGGAAAGCAGCACCACCTGATTTTTCGAACCTTCCAAAGCTTTCTGCACCAGAGCTACCAGAGCTTCCTGACCTACCCGAAGGTGAGCAAGAGCTTGATTTGGAGCCAACACCTTCGATCCCCGATGAGCCGATGGAGGCACCTCGTGAAGATGTGCCGCTTCAAGATGAACCACCTGCTCAAGAACCGAGTTCAGAAGACTTGAGTGCGAGCTCAACTTCCATGGCTCGCATGAAGTATGAGTCCGAAAGAGACGCCAAAAGAGCAATCAAAAGCAGCGATTTCTTCAATCGCAAGGCTGAGGAAAGAAGAAAGCAGAGAGAACAGAAGCTGAGAGACATGGGCATCACCTCCAAGCCCATGGAAGCAGAAGCAAGCTCGATCCCAGCAGGCTCAGATTTCGACCCTGACCTTGACGACTACCACACACGCCCGACACGACAATTGAGCCCTGTGGTGGAGTTTGATGCAGAGGCTGCAGAACGTGAGGCCAAACGACTTCGCCTCACAGCTGACGAAAAGGCATCGGAAGGTGCGGATTTTGTTGGAGAGCCTTTGCGTGCATACATGGTCATGGAGTCCCAGCACTTTTTGAACACAGAAGCACGCCAACAGTACTTTTTGTATGAAGAGTTTTATTTGGAGCACCGTGTTTCGCAAAGTGATTTCATGTTTGCAGTGTATCGCAACCTTTTTGACGACAAGTATGCAGTGCTTGCCGAGTATGCCTTCCAAAGCGGACAAACCACGACACCTGTCAAGAAGAAGGGCAGGAAAGAGCTGAAGCTGAATGAGATTCCCAAGGACAAGCAGCTTTTGTTCACTGGACCTGATGGTTCAGATGCCCGTGAATGGAAAGCCTGGCTCGAGAAGGAAGCCTGCACAGTTGTTGATTTGGAGAGATCACAAAAGATCCGCAGAGACAGCCCCGACTTGATCGTGCCGACGCGATGGGTACGAACCAACAAGTCAGAGGGCATTGTTGGAAAAGAATTTCAGGCGAAAAGCCGACTGGTCGTGCAAGGATTCAAGGACAAGATGCTTGGTGCCTATAGGAGGGACGCCCCAACAGCGTCAGCAGCAGCAGAATCCATTTGTTTGGCCCTGGTCGCTCATTTTCATTTTGTGCTCCTGGCAAAAGACAAAGAGGAGGTCTCCCTGGAGTACGACCTGGTCAATTGCTGGAGGCTCATAAAGCCATTTATGGTTTTGCAGAGTCGGCCCGACTTTTCTGGCTGGCACTACGTGAGCACCTCTTAGCTGATGGATGGCAAGAGTCCAAGCTGGAACCTGCACTTTTCTACCTGAGAGAAGGCGGACGACTTCGAGGTGTGCTTGTGACACATGTTGATGACCTCGAAGGAGGAGTTCAAGAGGATTGGCTCAACCGAGCCTTTGCCAAATCCTCAGCTGCACTTGAGTTTGCAACCAACCACGTCCACGACTTCATTTTCAGAGGTCGCGAGATTCGACAGACCCCTGAGGGACACATCGATGTGATGATGAAGAACTATGCATTGTCTCTCAAGCCTGTCAACCTCAAGAAGGAAAGACGGCAGCAGCTCGAGTCCAGCCTGACGGAGGAGGAGAAGGAAGTGCTGAACAGTTCAGCTGGAGAGCTTGGATGGCTTTCGCGCCAGTTACGGTGCGACCTAGCGTTTGAAAACGGCTGTGCCCAAAGGTGCAAGGCTGACCCTTGCATAGCAGACCTCCTGAAGTTGAAGGGGTACCTAGGTGCAGCAAAACGCGCAGCTGACTTTCGGATGAGATACTGGTCCGACGTCAACCTGGCTGAAGGTGTGATGGTCATGTTGTCGGATAGCGGCCATGCCAACAACAATGAAGCTGGAGATAAGAAGTTCCGCTCTGTTGGATTTTTCATCCTGATAGCAAACCCCGGCTTTCTACATGGGGATGAAGTTCGCTGCAATGTTTTGAGTTTTCACTCCGGCACCACGAAGCGTGTTTGCAGAAGCACTTTGGCCGCAGAGGCCAGCCACTTGGCTGAAGCAGTAGAAGCTGGTGATTGGATGATCGTTCTTTTAGAAGAGGCCTTGACCGGAGAACTCGACCTGAAGAATTGGCCCGAGATCATCAAGAGAAGACAACGCGTCTACGTCACCGACGCCAAGTCTGTCTACGACTACTTGGAGAAAGACAGCACCAGCACCTCTTCAGATAAAAGGATGGCCATAGAAGGAGCTCTTCTTCGAGAAACCGTCCGACAGGATGGAGCACATGTGAGGTGGATTGATGGCATGCAGAACATTGCCGATGTCCTCACGAAGATGGGAGCAGACAAAACTATGCTCCGTGAGTTCCTTAGAACAGGAAAGCTTTCGCTAGTTCAGAACGAGCTCAACCGACAGCTCAAAGAGAAGAAAAGGACAGAACGCCAGAATAGAAAGAAGGTGAAAGCTGAAGATGGCCAGAAAGAAGAGAGGCAAAAGCTTCGAAGGCAGAAGCTAGCGGCTGAAGTGAAGGCCGAACAAGCTGAGGAATCAGCTGAAAGCGAGCTTTGATCAAAGAAAAGAAAACACCAGTGTGAAGATGTCCAGGCATGCAGTTGATCAAAGCAGTTTCGCTACATAGCCGGCCCAGAGGAAAGCGGCCCCGATAGCACACCATGTTGCATCACGGCCCCGAGGAACTCTCAGCCCGCTTGCAATGCGGATGACACACACAAATCGAGAAGAAGCAAAGCAAGCAGATTTCAAGACAAGTTTCACTAGCATGTTTTTACCTTTCGTTTTGCGGTGGAAAAGCTTCCAGTGCGCTTCGCAGGGTCATAGAAAATATATCTAGAACATAAGATACATCTTTGGAAACTAACTACGCCATTCTCATTCTTCATTCTCATTCTCATTCTTCTTCTTCTTCTTCTTCTTCTTCTTCTCTGGCACCATCGCACTTGACCAAGACTCATGTCCATTGACACCATGGCATGAGTCCAAGCCGGGGTCACAATATTCCCTGCCTGTTCTGCAGGCTAGCTCGAGCCTAGAACACAAAACCATATAAACACACCTATAGAAACTATACCACTCTGGAATGGATTCATCTCGATCGTCCTCCTACCTGGTACCTCCTACCGGACCCGGTTTCTTTCGACCGCTCGGGTCCGTCTCTACACCGCGGTCGGTGGTCGGTTGCGAAGGTGGCGGTGGAAGTCCATCCTCTAGCCAAGCTTCAACAAGACCCGGAGGCGGGAGGAAGCGCACTTACTTAGGAGAGGAGAGAGGTTGTTAGGAGAGCCAGGCCCCTTGGTTGCACGTTTTTGGACGCTTGGCTAGTAGTAATGCCCTTGGTTACTAGTAGCGCACTTGCTACTAGTAGGGATGCACTTGCTACTAGTAGCTCCAAGAGTTTCCGGTTTTGCAACGAGAGAGTGACACCTGACACGAACATGATGGAGATCGTGTCTCCATGAAGTATAGTGCAGTGTTAGGTCGAAATGGGGACGGTTGACCAAAAGACCACGACATGTTCAGGGACCAGATGTTGACGAAACATCCGTTGGCATTGGGCGGTGTTCCCATTTTCTAAAAGCCGAACTGGGAGTTTCTGAATTTTGATCCAGTCTCCTGAAGAGGAGGTTTTCCGACTGCCTACTTCCTAGACTCTAGACGTTGCTCGAAGGTGGTCTGACCTTTCTCGAGCTTGGAAGATGAATTGCCCTTAACCATTCTAGAGCGTGATCCCTTGAGGAGGCTTCTTCATAGAGCCTTCGAAAACACCCCCAAAACACATCCAAAATTCAATCTACTCCCCAATTCCTTTGCTGGACGGGCGTTTCAGCAAGGCTGGCAACACTCCCTGTGCTCAGCCAATGGTTTGACCGGCTTTTTTTGCTTGCAGGCCACCATGCCGCTGGCGACGGTGGCCAAGCTACTCCTGCTCCGAGCGGCCTGTTTTTCTCCGGTTGCACCGAGTGGTCATGAGGTAACCACCCCCTAGTATGACTATACTGGGGGCAAGTGACTGAGGAGTTAGGGCTGCTAATGTTATTGGAGTTATGACTAATATATCATATACACGGAGGGCCTACACAAGTGCGTCGAATTCTCTCCTTCTCGCCGCCAGCATCGTTGCAAGCATCCGGCCCACATACATCACTCTCTTCCATGCTAGACGGCAGATTTTTCCTTCAAGTGGTGATCACGAACTCTGAAATGCCTCCTCAGACTACGTCTTTACATTGCAGTATTGTAATTGCATCTACACTCCCCCGCACCCCCTTGTAATCAAAGTTGAGGGTCAAACATGGAGTTCAGGTACTAGGTGGACCATCCCACATGCATTAGATAATAAACCACCCCGAAAACATGTGAGCCTCATCTGGCATCAACATTGCTGAACAGTGGGGACTTAATCTTAATATATCTTAATTAATTAGGTTCATGCCATTCTGGTTCGGCTGGTAATGCTCTGATTCTCAGGTTCCCTTACTTCTGATGGCTCTTCACTGGGAGGACATTCCAAGTCCGGCATCTGTTCTGTGAGTCGAGAAAAAGTGGTTCTTGGGAGGTTTCTGCAAATTGCTTAGTCGAAGGGTTATTGAAAGTGCCTTCACATCTTGCAACAAGGACAAGCAGAAGAAGTCTTGCAAATGCCACTAACGAGAACTGCATAGCTGAAGTACAATGCCACTAACGTGCCACTAGCTCCTTTGGTTGGCGAACTGCATGGCTCTAGCGCAATGCCACCAACCAAACTCTAGTTTTAAAGAGTCTTAATAAGACTTGATCTGTTGACCGCACCTGTCCCCGACGGGCGCCCCCCGGCCTATGCCAGCGCTGCACCCACTTGTGGATGCCTTGCCAAATCGCTCAGTGGCTCAGCGAGAACTGCATAAACCTGCCTCTGCGTAAAATAAGAGCTGATAGACTTGAAAAGCTGATGGAGCTGCGCCACGTGCAACATTCTGCCTCTTCACCCAAGCCAAGGCATTATATTCAGCCATTGTTTTGCAGGCGAATTTGCAAGCCCTCGCCCATGCCACATTGCTCTCATCATGCATGCAGTATACTGCACAAGATCGACACATAGCTATCCTCGCTCCCCCCCTACACACACAGTATAAAAACGACATATTATATATATATATTATTATATATATATATTATACATTATAAAACTATTTTATCCTCAGTGAAGCGATGGACGTTTCAACCATCAAGTCCAAAAATTGCATGCAATTTTTTATATTGGGATGACCGGGCATCCTTCTCAGATGTCCGTCGCCCTTCGAAAGCTCGAAAGCTGAAATTGGGGCGTCGAACGATTGTGAGCGACGAGGGACGAGAGGAGGTGTCAGGGACACCCGGCAAATTTGAACCTTCACCTCTTAATAGACCTGGAATTGGGGGACATTGACCGATCTCAAAAGCAACTGATTTTTGGGGTCCCCCAAATCAACGAACGGGAAGACTGAGCCTTTTGTCCTGAGTCCAACGACCTGGGAGGGTTCTCTCTGGACACGGGGAAGGACACGGGTGCCAACGGGTGCTGCGCTGTTCCCCTGGCCTTAGACGACATGCCAGGAAACTGGAGTGGCCTCGCTTCGATGATCGCTTCTTGGAGAGGCGAGCTGGGCCACGAAACTGGTCGACCGAGCTCCTTTTTCTGGGTCCAAATCCCCAAGGAGTGACCCCGGAGTGACCAGAGGCCAGTGATGCAGAAGATTTTGAGGCTTCCAATTCGAACAGACACGAACTCGGCCGCCTGAGAGAACATGTCTTCAAGAAGGTCCGTTTCGGGACCAGCATCGAGTCAGGTGGGCCCCGTTGCATGGTATACGGATGTTTCTCCCCCTCAGTCAAGGTGTTTCGCCAATCTCTTAGTAGCTGATCGAAATCTTGAGGTTTCATCTCTCTCTATCAAGCCCCTTATGTTGGGTCGAAAGGTGGCGCATTCTTGAGACCAATTCTACAAGAGATCGGATCTGAACCATCTCCCGAACACAAAGATGCTGGGACCCAACAGTCCGTGGCAGAGGGGAAACAGACCCGACACGGAAACGCAGGGAAAAACGGACCCGGACGCGGAGCTTGACGCAGAATTCTGAGAGCAAGTGCTCAAGTTTGAGTGGCTCATATAAAGGCCATTCTAAAAGTCATGGGGTGCCAGTGCCATCTACTCTGACCCCACTGTAACCTTTGCTTCCCTCCACTAGAACGACCGCTGCATCGACGGCCTGGCCTCAAGAGGCCCTCCGACTGCCGAGGCGCATCGAGCAGCTCTACGACGACTTGCGGCGCGCAGACTTTGCGGGGGACAAGGAGGCGGTGGCCGGGAGCTCCCAGCCCGGAGCAGCTCCGAGAGACCTGGAGGTCCGGAGCAGCCCCCGAGGTGTCATGGAACTGAAGTGCTCTTGGGCTCTTGGATTTGAGGCATCTACCTAGCGCTTCCTGGAGTGGATGCCCTGGAGTAGGAGACCTGGAAAACGTAGTGTGGAGATATCCAGCCAGGTGACCAACGGAAAGCAGCTGGTATGTACCCGTAGCTCCCTGATGAGCAGGGTGATTCTATTCATCTGATGTTCAGAGGCATGGACCTGGACTGTTTAGCTCTACAAAGAAGGGATGGTCTTCACTTTCATTCCATGTGATGTGTGAGTTTCGGCGTGTCTTGTATTTCTTGAAGCTCTGGGTTGAACACTTCTGGTGCGCATTTTTGCCAGATCGTGCACTACAGATGAAAGTCCTTTCCCTCGCAAATTGCACGTGTTGCCCTCAAGTTGTTGCCTTTCAGCTAGCTCCCAGTAAGTCAAGCTGAACATCGTGTGTTCCAAAGGCTAGGCAAGTGCCAAGATGGGAAAAACACCAATTTTATACAAATCACCAGCCAGATGCGCTTTCCCACGCCCCACGATCGAAGAGCCTGGTCACCCCTTTCCTCCCGCGGCTGTGCCGATCCAGTATCGAGGTGTCGCTTGAAGAAGCGACTGACAGATTTACAGAACCATTAGGGGCCAATCATTCGGGTGGTTGAAAGAAGGGCTCAATGGCTCAATGTAGGCCTATCCGACCTATCAATCAAACAAAGCAGTGGATATGCATCTGCATGAGCTATGTCCCCCAACATGGGGGAACCAAATCATTCAAGGCATACAATTTCATACCATACAGGATTTTGGGATCGCAAGTGGTGGAGAAATGTGGAGAACATTGAGCAGGGACGAAAGCAAGCAACGATGGTTTCGTTTGGAGTGAAACCGCTCTCTCCGAGTTTGGAAGGACGAGGACCGGGGTCCCAATCGGACGAGCGCCATGTCTGGGTCTCTCGACGCATCGTATCTCCATCTCGTGGTCCATTGGACGTCCCTTCACCTCCGAAGGACAAGACCCTAGAAGAGACCCTAGAATTGGAGGCTTAGGTGGCTAAGATGCCGTCTACGACCATTTTAGGCATAGAAAACGATGTTTCTACATGAAGGGATTTCCGATTTCCACCGTGAACACCTCCCCCCACGCGGTTTGGACGACAGCGAGGCGAAGTTCCGTACCCAAGCCCTGCGACTCGAAGGCGGAACCCGCCCCGCGCGGGGCGGGGGTCCCTCGGGAACTGCGGATCGATGGTTGGAGTAGCCGAAGCTCAGGAGGAAGGATGACTGCAGGTGTGCGGTTTTGTCTGGTTTTTGTGGCAAAACCCCAGAGCGAGCGACAGCAGGCTTTTTGGGGTGGGCAGCCTCAGGCGAACAAGACTGCCTGCATGGTCTAGAGAATCCAGTGTAGGGCATGGGGCATGGGCTCACTTAGCCCTCAGAAAGGGAACAAGACTTGAACTCCCCTCAGATGGAAAGGGCATCTTTGTGCTGTTCCGAACCGGGTTTCTTGTGCTTGCCATATAGCACGAGAGTGTCCTCCAGTTTCATGTGGCTTCTGAAGCAGATCGAAGAGAACCGAGAGGCTCGGGTTCAGTATGTGGAAGACGCTCCTCCTGTGATGATGTCTGTTGGTGTCGACTTAGGGTAGAAAGGGTCAGCTTCGAGAAGGTTCACGGGGAATGTGAAGCCATTCTGGTAAGTTTTCTATTTTAAACATCAACAGTCGGCGTGAAAAGAATTTTTCTTTTTCTTACTGGATTTGTTGGTTGCTTTTGGAGCGTTGCCGGTCCAAAAAGGTGTGAAGAGCCTCAAGGAGCACGTGGAGTTGAATCGGAAGGCGCGAGAGATGGGAGCAACGCCCAACCGACGCCTCTTTTCGGAACCTTCAACGTCTCCTGAGATGGGGGAGCGGATCATGATCAATCCATCATGTAAACCTGAGAAGAATGCGAAGATGGAGCAGTGGAAGAAGTAGTGGAAGAGGATCTTGCTTGGCAGCATGAATGGGCAAGGTCTCCTTGCATGTGTCGGTCTTGGTCTGTTTCGATTGGACCTTACTCCGACGCGCGGACCTCCCTGCGTTGAGGAGACGAACCTGGCGCCGGAGAAAGGGCGCATGGACCTCTTTCCACAGCGCGGTCCTTGGCGGTCGCCGTGTCGGTGCGTTTCGGTCCTTGGTGGTTTGGGGCACGCGCCCCGCGGAGTGGCGGTCCACTTGGTGGTGCCTGCCATAGCCCGTCTCTCTGTCAGGGTATCCGTTTCATCGGGTTCAGCGGCGAAGGGGTTCGTTTCACTGGACCCCTCACAGCGGAGCCGAGTTCCCCCAAAACCGTTTTGCTCCTGTAATTAGGTTCTGTCAGTGTCAAATCCGCTACTAAACTCACTAGACATCAGTGGGTCATCTTCGGCTCTGACCTCCCTCCATCCATCCATCCAACGGCGCGCGTGTCTCGCGCGTCGACGCGCTATGGCGCTGGTCTCGCGCGCGCCGACGCGCCAGGAAGTTCATCCGAGCCAAGCGGCAGATCGACGAGAGCACCGGGCGGATCGTGTTGAAGGCGCACCGGGTCGCACCGGTGCACCGTGCGACCGGCCCATCCGACGTCAGGGGTACGAGGAGTAGCGAGCGAGGGAGGGAGTTCAGGCAGGGAGTAGAGGGGGACAGAGTTCAGTTGGAGCTTCAGCTGTTTGGAGTTCCTGGAATTCACTTGGCAATTGGACACCCCTTGATCTTTGGCAGGTCAATATCCTTGCAAGCTGAAGGGGAAAGTACCTGCGATCAACCAAGTCTATCGATGGCCACAACGGAATTCCGACTACCTTCAACGAGACACACACGCAAAGGACCTATGGCCTCCTCGCACCAGAAGGGACTGAAGCACTAGTTAGTTTATAGGGAAGAAACTCAAGT